GGGGGTGCTGGGACCTGTCCTGACTTGCTGGAATGCCCACCCCGCAGGCGAAGGAGGTCCTCTGGGGAGGAGGCGAGGCCGCTTCCTCAGAGCAGGGCCTCCTCCTGTGCCCTGAGCTCCACCGCCCTCCACTCTCCTTTGTTTCAGCCCTATTTTCTGGGGATGTTTCCACTGGCTCCCCTCCTGCCACCCTCCCCTATCCTAAGGCTCCTGTAAATCTCTCTTAGGGGAAAGCTTTCACTGCAGATCACAGTTCCGAAGTTCCTAGAACACCAGGCTATTTTACAGCTGCTGGGAGAGAGTCTCCACAACCTGCCCCGGGATGCAAGCCAGGGCCTGGAGAGGATTACTGCTGCTCTCGGGGGAGGAGAGTGCTCTGGAAACTGCTTACCAAGCAAGCTGAAAGGGGGGGTAAAAAAGGCTCCAAGATTCAGGAAAAAAGCCACCTGTGATGCACGTGACAAAGTGAGACTCAGAGCAAACCCAGAGAAGCATTTCGACCACTCAAGAAAATAAATAATATTGAGAAGGCCTTGGCAAGAGGGTAGAGGAAGTGAAGAAAGAAAGAGAAGAAGTTCAGGAAGACTAAAAACATGAGCATTTTAACTTTATTAAGACTAAAATGAGAAGATTTTGTCTTGACTTAAAAGTAACTCATTCTTCCACCTCTATTTAAAAAAGTAGACCACTAGAGATCTTTTCCCTTCAAACTATAGTTCCTTAAATTCAGCCCTTTTCTCCGTTACGTCAGTACCAGAAATATAATTATCACATCTTCTGAGGGAGCGTATTTTGAAGGTTGCATATGGGAAAACGGCACATAGATATGTCCTTACCCAGTTTAGAGCTCTCCATGGGCAGTGTTTACAGCGAAAGGATGAACCGCAAGGGAGGCGGGCAGCAGGAAGGCTTTCTGAACTCTCCCCGGAAAAGCAGGCCGAGCGGATTTCCAACTAACCCGTCAGCAGATTTGTGGTCCCAGAACCTCCCAAGTACACAGGCCCTTGGTCCATGACCAATATGCACTGGACAAGTACATGGATAAGCCAGAAAAGGGATTCACTCACTGTCTGAGTCCCCCAGTCATCAATGTTCATTGAGTATCAACTCTGGGAAAAGTTCAGTGCTAAGTGCTAGGTTAGATGGGAGACAAGAAAGATCACTCTAAAGATACAGAAGTGTCAGTGTTCTCAGGCCTCTGAAATCAAGATAGGAAGACTGCACATGTGCACAACTATAACACGGGAGAGCAAATGGCAAGTGTCAGTGGAGTGCTCCATGCAAAGATTTGTCGAACCCCTATTTCCCATCGAGACATCGGATTTTCCCCAGATCCTGATCTTATTTAGATCCTATGTGCTCCTTCACTTGAATGCTTCAGCTTGGTGCTCTGATCCTGAACCACCCACCTATTCCGATCATTATGAACTGGCTTTATGTCCATCACCGGTGTGCCCTGCGGCACCTACCATTTCACAGGATCCTCTCCTGTGGCGTCTAAACCTTACATCACCCAACATAACACAGCCTGAATCAAGCAGCACAGGGTGACACGTTCTGTGAAGACATTCCCAGTACAGGTCCTGCTTGGTGCCTTTCGGCAGCACATTGTGCAGAGTGAAAGAGAGGCTTTCTCAGGTAATTAGGAGACGGTGGCGCAGGTGAGATGATCCCGTCCCATGGGGACAGTGCATTGTACTCACTGAGTTTTAGGTACTCACACTGAAGAGCAGCAGAGTGGACATTATCAAATCCTGCTAACCTATGCTCCTCCTGAATGGGTAGAGACACTAACTTGGAGAAAGTTTTGTATCAGGTGGAAGACAAGGATTCAACTTCACCTGCCGCCTCCGGGTAACATTTAGGTATGCGTAAAGATAAACTAACTGTATCCATTCCGTTTCATAACTTCTATTATAAACCTTGCAATGGTACTTTTAAATCAGTATTTAATTTCTCAAAATTAATTCTAAATGATCTGAAATGAGAAAGTATAATAAAGGAACTTTAGAACCAATTTCTAGTACCGTGATTCTAAACGGGGGTAGCTTAGCATTTTCCCCCTTTGGGGGAATTTGGCCACGCCTGCAGACAGTCTGGTCACTAGGTCTGGGGGGGGCTGCTACTAGCATCTAGTGGGTAGAGGCCAGGGATGCTGCTAAATTTCTTACAATGCACAGAACAGCCCCCACAACAAAGCTTAAAATGTCAATAGTCCTCAAGTTTAGAAACTCTACCCTTAGCGAAAGAGCCCTAAGTTAGGAGTAAGAAGACCAGGGTTCTAGGCCAGGTTATATCATTTTTTAACAATAGACATTGGCCAAGCACCTCAAGCTCTTTGCAATTCAATTTTTTCATCTGTATCATGGGAGTAGTAATATCTGCTCTACTCACCCACTCAGGGCTGTTCGTAACCATCAAATGAAAAAATTGCATGTGGTATACAAAGCCGAGTTGGCACTTTTATTATTTAGCATCACAACTTCTTTAACATCAACATTCTCAGACTATCCTTTATACAGACACAAATTCAATCTATATATATTTACACTGGGCCTATGGAATAAATAGGGCAGTTTTAATCTTATTTAAGAAACCCAAATGCCCATGGAAAGTCAAATGAGCTTCTGGTCCTCCACAGCCCAGACAAAGAAAAAAACACCTCTCTTGTCAACACAAGGTTAGCATTCAGCTTTCCCTTGTCAATGATCTACAGACAGAGAATCAACCAGGGGTCAGAAAACACTTACCGCATAGATTTTCTTTTCATGATGGCAAGATCCATGAGCCGTGGACACACACTCAGGGCAGCACTGGTTGGCGGCTATTTGAAGCACTTCTCCCTGCACATTAACAGCTCAGTGTAAAACAGCGGCAGCAAACAGTCACAATGGTTCTTTGTGCCAGAGCCATCTCAGATTCACTAAATCTCATGAGTTTTCCCGGGTGACAACAATAGACAGGATAAACCGAATAAACTAACAAAAGGGATTCTCTCTGTCAAGACAAGCTTCTCTTAAAGATAAAATGAACGCCCTTGTGTAAGTAATTTCCTTGGAAATTGTCTGTATCTTTTCACATGTAATGAAGTGAAGAATTTTATTCACTAGAAATGCTTCATCTGAGTGTCACATAAGAAAGGCAGCGACAGAGAGAGGAGAGCTGTAGCATGACCTGGGTAGAGGTGAGGGGTGGCCACAGAGTTGGGGGCCACAGGTCTTCCAGATCTCCTATAGAGGCCGGATGTAGTCAGCAGCAGGGAGCTAAGGTTCTGAGGTTCGCTTTTACCTGGGACACAAAGTAGTTGAGGTGTCCTGTGTCCTGTGGAGGGCTGGGAGAATTCACTGGCTCCAGGAAAGACCTACATTGTTTTCCAAGGCTTCTATAATGGCAACTGTGTTCCCTAACAAGATGTGATACTGTCCTATGGTCTCGCTTATACGTGGAATCTAAAGAACTTAATAAACTGATGAACAGAATAGATTCAATGACATGGAAGCATGGATGAGACTAACAAATGTCAGAGGGAGGGAGGAGAGCGGGTGGAGGGGGAGAGATTAACCAAAGAATTTATATGCATATATGCACAACCCAAGGACACGGACAATGGTGGGGAGAGGGACTGGGGAGGGGGGTGGGACGGGTCACTGGGGGCATCTGTAATATTTTAAACAAAAATAAAATTTAAAAATTAAAAAAAAAAAGAAAGAAAAGATGTGATACTATCAAGGGAATGCGCTACCACGTGACACCCCAGGGTTTATTGGGAAGTTGTTACATTAACTAACCATCTATTTGCCAGCGAAGCATCAATCCACTTATCTAAGAGTTATTAAAACTATGGAGCAAAGAGATTATGTTTGTCTGTGGGGCCAGTGATTTTCCTAGTCAATCCTCTGCTTCACCTTGTTCCTCCACTATATATATCTTAGCGTTTCCTCAAGTCTAGAGATGTGGCAGATCAAGCAATAAGTGACTTTGGGCGAAAATGGTAGGAGATCCTGCATTATCTAGGAAACCATAACTTGCTCACGGAATAAAAGTCTACAAAGAATTCAGCTGCTAGAATGAACAAAGTGTGTGTGTGTTAATGATTCCTTGTTATTTTGGGCTGCTTCTATTAAAAAAAAAAAAGTGCCTACAAGAGAATTGTAATTTTATATAACTACATTCACAAGAGTGGGTGAGAAATGGCACTAAGATTTTACAACTGTTAACCCATAAAACAGATAAATACACCAGTAAGGTAATCACCAAATTCTTCCTATTTGCTTGATAAAGGAGAAACATAAGATATGGAATTTTATAAAATTCTACATACTATACAATGTTGATGACTTTTCAGAAAAGTTTCCTCTGAACCTCAAGAGAAAACTACACTTGTACAATTTCCACTAAGACAGTAAAATGTACAAACTGCACTAATCTAATTTGCACTAAGAATTTCATACAAATAGAAAATGAGACAAACCAGGTATTGTTTATATTCTAACATGGAAACAAGGAGCAGGGGAGAAAGGCAGGTAGAATGAGAGATTCCAAGGAATATTGTATGCCCCCAATTAAGTTTTCTTTGTTTTACATAAAAACTGATTTTCAGATTTGGCCCTCAAAACTCATTTCATAAATATAACATCCCTTACATGAGATGGCAGATAGACTCTCCAGCTTGAGTCTACCTATTGAACTTCCAGTTGAACATGAAAGGTGATCTGGAGCTAAAGGAAGAGCAAAACATTTAGCAAGTGGGTGCTTAGGGAAGGAGAGGCAGGGAGTCTTGCTACCTAACCATGTAACCTTGCATAGCCCTGTGAACTGTGGGCTACATGGAACACGTAAGCCTGTTGCGCCTCCAGACTGTGCACTGGGGAACACTGGGAAGTGGCCACGTGGGCCAGAGACATCAGCAAAGACTGCTGGGGGATCTGGGCGAGATTACTTGTGTAGGATCTAGGAGAACCAACTAACAATAATTATGATGATCTTTTGATAATTATAGCCAACACTTATTGAGTACTTAGGATAGCCAGATACTCTTCTAAGTATATAGGAAAATATGTAATACAATAAATAATAATACAAGAATAAACTCTGTGTTTCACAATCTCACTACTGTAAACCTACTTTTTCCCCACCCCCATAGATGTACACATATAAGAGTGTACGTATATATGGGTGTATATATAATTTAATTCTCACTACTTAATTCAGTAAGTACTATTATCTGCCGTGAGGTTTTCAGACAAAATCCCACCCCGTGTACTAATACAGCGTTCCTTGCATGGCATTGCTCTCTATACCTATATACTCTCCAGAAATCCTTAAGAGGTCATTGCTTCTGACAGGACTGGGTTCTAAATGCCTCTGTTTTCTCTTTTTCTCAATTGTTCTCTGTCTCTGTCTATCTCCTTTCTGTCCCTATTTAGCTAGCTATTCTATATGGATATAGGATATGGATATAGAATCTATTATATAAGTTATAGGCTGAACAGATACATTCATACATACATACAAACATACATACATCTATCAAAATTGACATTGACACTAGGTTATTTCTAGTCCATCTATGAGCAAAAAACCATACATAATAGGAATTCATTAATAATAATAATTTAGTTTAGGGTACAATGGGGATTCATTAACTTGCGACATGAACCAATGTAAATATACCACAGCAGATCTGAATAACAACACATGCTGCTGACAAACACAAAGGAGAACTGAAAAGCAACATGTTGCAGTAGAAATCACATCGGGGCATTAGCCAGGGACTACGGTTTTTGTCATGGCTGTGCCACTCACCAGCTCTGTGTCACTGAGCAAGTGATTAAACCACTAAAAGTCTGTTTCTTTGTCTATAAAATAAGAAAGTCTAAGTGAATTCTAAAGGCCTCTTGTAGTTCTATCATTCTACGATCTATATTATTACTTAAAATAAAGAACCCAAATGCTCTGGAATATACTCACACGATCTTGGAGTTGAAAGTTTCTTATGGTTGGGTCATCTGGTCCAACCCCAACCTTCTCATTACAGATAAGGAACCTCTTTAGAGTTCGTACTCTGTAATTACGTCATTCACCAATTTGCCAATCACTCCCTCGCAGTCACTCAGTAAAGACATGGCACCTGGGTCTCAATTCTTTTCTACCCTATATCTAGAATTAATTCTGGACAACTTCAATGTCCATGAAAGTGACGAGTCTAACGTTCTGACCTTATACATTCTTAACCACATCAATTCAAATACTCTTCAACTCTACTTTGAGACCCCAATGGTCATGGTCAACCTTAGGTCTTGTCCACACTCCAAATTATTCCATACCAGAAACTTTCAACTCCCTAAATCTGAGCATCCTAGCCTTTAGCTCTCTCTCACCCATACTCTCACTCATTTCACATACTTCAGAGAGAACTCTGAGCACGTCTTTTCCTTACAGTGATTCAGTCCCCAGCTGGCCTCATTTCCCTTGTCATGTTATCCTCAATGCCCAACACTTTATGCACCTCCATTCTTTTTCTCCATTGATATGGCAGAATCCCAATCCTGAATCTATTTCACAGCTTGCCTTATTCTCTCTTATACCTGGCTGGTAAGCATTGCTAAGAAATTCATTCCACTACGCAGCTTGGTACTCCCACAGGTTCACAGTCTCCTGCTCTTATGGGCCCTTAATAGCACCCACAAATGCTTAGGTCCCTTTCTCCCCTCACTTACAGCTGACATTCACTACTCTCCTTCAGCTCCCAACCAAACCTCAAACTCTTCACAGAGTAAGCTCACTATGTCTGAACTGCTTCAGTACCCTGTCCCTCGACCTACCCAGAAGTTTAATTATATCTGTATCCATCCATGGTTCTTTCTTTTAGAGGGTAGGGTTGTCCTCCCAACCCCATGTGCTGGATCCCACACATTCTGCTCTTCTCCAAAACTACCCTTTCTAATCATTCCTTCTGTCTCTCCTCCCAATCCACCCCCTATATCTTCAACCTCTCTCTTTCTTCTAGGTTACTGCCCTACTTTCCTAAGGTGATTATGTCTCTCTCATGCCAATACAGAAAACAAAAACAAAACCCTTCCCTTCCCTTGTTTGGTCACTCTCCAAGTACTGACCGAGCACCGTCTGTGTGACATGCACTATGCTGTTTGATGGGCTGCAATAGTGAAGACAAAGTCTCTGTCCTCAAGAAGCTAAGAGTCTGGAGGCAGCAGACAAGCAGGCATTTGCAGTCTGGTCAAAGGCTGTAATAAGGGCACGCACAAAGCACCATGGCACATAGAGGAGGCCCACTGGTTGGGCATGGGAGGCTCAGAGAAATTTCACAGATGTAGTGGTGTCTGCCCAATGTCCCATTGCTCTCCTTCCATTCTCAATGAAGCTCCCCGAAAGTGTAGCCTGTATTTGGCCTTCCTTTCTCCACTTTTCATTCCTCAAACCACTGCAATACAGTTTCCACTCCTGCCACTCTACTGAAACCAACTTCAGCGTGGTCCCCAGTGGCCTACATGCTGCCAAATCCAATGAAGCATATTAAATTCTTCTCCCACCCACTGTCTCACCTGTGATCAAAACTGTTGCTACGGAACCCTCCTGGAAATGCTTTGCTCTCCTGGCTACCATGACGCTGCTCTCTGCTCTGACCATTTCTCACCTCTTAACCTCTTGATCACGTCTTTCTAATCTCCTTAGGTGCCATCTCTTATGCTCACCTCCCCCTCAATGGTTGTGTTCCCCAAATTCCATCCTTGCTCTTGGACTCTTTTTTCACACAACCTCTTTGAATGAGCTCATTAATTCTAAAAGTCTGCACTACTGTCCTAAAGTCTGTGTGCCCTTTCCTCTTGCTCCCAACACTACCAGTGCTCCGATTCTCGTCTCTTCCTCGCAGCTGGATTCATCTCACGGCTTCTGAACTCATCTCCTCACTTCTAATATTATGTATTATCTCTCAAAAACTGGAGAGATGTTTCTCAAAGAAAAGCCGGTCATTCTACCCATATGCCTGACACTGTACTTAGTATCCTATCATCTTAAAAATAAAATTCCAAGCTTCACAGAACATCATACAAGGCTCCCTGTAACCTTGAACTTACCAGCTCTCTAGCCCCATCTCTCATTCATTCACACAGTCAGCCAAAAAATATTAGTACTGAGTGCCTGCCATGTGTCAGGTGCTATTGTAGGTGCTGAGGATATAGAGTGATCAAAAGAGACAGTAAACAAGGAATGTAAGTAAAATACAGAGTATGTCAGATACTAGTTAGTGCCAAGAAGAAAACTAAAGCATGGGAGAGGGGTGGGAAATGTATGGTAGGGGGTGGAGGGTTGCAATTTTAAATAGAAAGAGATTCGGGCAAAAATTAAAGGAAGTAAAAGATCAAGGCATATATATATATATATCTGGACAAAAGCAATCTCTGTGGGAACAGCAGAGCGCAAAGGCCCTGTGGCGGAAGTGTGCCTGGCGTATCCAGTACACAGCGAGCGGGCACGCTGTCTCAGGCAGAGTGAGCAAGGGAGAGACCAGTTGGTTAGTTAAAGGGGTGCAACAGCACTTTCAAGGGACCCCGTGGAGAGTTACTGTGAGAAGAGAAGCCATTGGAAGCCCCTGGAGGGGTTGAAGGAGAAAAGCAACATACCCTGACTTCAATGTTAATAGGATCACCCCGGCTACTTTTTCAAGATTACAGTGAAAAAGGCAAGTCCAGAAACAGTGAAACAAATTAAGAGGTTACTGTGAAGAATGAAGCAAAAGATGATAACAGTAAGGGCAGAGTAAGAGCAGGGAAGCCACATACGGAATGTCCTGTTTCATGAAGAGCTGGCTGGCTTGCTAATGTGCTAGATGCAGGATGTGGGAGAAAGTGGGGAGCTGAGGGTCATGCTGTTTTCTGGCCTGAGAAAGTGGAAGAAGGGAGTTGCCATTTTCTGAGATGAGAAAAATTAGGAGAGGAACAAATGAAGAAGAGATAAAATCACATTTGGTATAGAACAAGGGTCAGAACCTTTTTCTGCAAAGGGCCAGAGAGCAAATATTTTAGTCTTTGGTTTGCTTGTCACTATAATGTAGCCACGGGCATTACATAAATCAATGAGTCTGTCTGTGTTCAATAAAACTTTATTTATGACACTGAAACTTGATTTCATATAATTTTTGCATTATGAAATACTATTCTCTATGGATCTTTTCTAACCATTTCAAAATGCAAAAACCATTGTTTGTTCACAGGTCATAGCGGCTAGATTCTGTCAGCTGCCCCTGGTATAAAACACATTTAGTTTTCAGCAATACAGTCTATGTCTTATAACATTTAGTTCAGGGCTTTTCCTGCGATACCACAATTATTCATGTGACATGGAGGAGGGCATGTTTTCATGGCTGTTACACAACCAGCTCAGATTTTGACATGAATTACTCAGCAAGCTAAGCAGTGATCTTTTAGGAGTATTTCCTCCATAAAATAGAAAGCTCCATAATATACAACAAAATATTATCAAATTTACCAACACTTGATGTATAACCAGCTTCTTAAAAATATACCCATGTAGAAATTGAGTAATACCTTAAAGGTATACAGAAATTTATTCACTCCAAATTTAGAAACAGAAATTTATTAGCACTAGATGGTATGAAAGCTCAAGATTAATTATTGTGGGGGAAGCAAGAAAACTAAAAAAATAAACTGCTTGTGAAACTGACAGGATGCATTTTTAGAAAAAATAATTGGTCTTCTCCAGGGAGTTTCAAATGTTCAAATTTGAAGCTTAAGCTCTTTTTATTTTAATAGACTCACTTTAAAAAGAAAAGAGTCAGCACCTGGAAAAAAATATTCTAACAGCATAGCTGTGTAGTTAGAAAAAAAACCCAGAAAAAACGAAACAGAGGGACAGAATGAAATATCTCTCATACACTTGGTCAAATGCCGGAGATTTCTGAGTCAGAGCCTCTCACATTCCTAGAGAGCACAAAGGCAGTACAATAATACAGTCAGAACAAATAATATTTTTAGAAAATCATCTTTAAGTTGATCCTGACTTTCAATCTATTCAACAGCTTGTAAATGCTGCGGTTAGTATCAGTAGCTTTAGCAACTGTCGAACCCAGAAAAAACTCTCTGGGCAGCAGTTGGCTTATTAATTGCATAATCATGGTTCAGTTGCTTAAAATCTCTAGGCTTCACTTTCCTCATCTGTAAAGTGGGGATAAAGATATCTCACCTGACATAATAGTAAACGGAATAACATTTGTAAAACACTTAACAGCGTACTAAATGCTCAATAAACAGAAATTAAGATATCCTTAAATATAATATGAAAAACTTCTCGCCTGCGTTTCATAAAGCTTCCAATTAGTTTGGGATAAAAAGCTAGATAGCTGAAAATATGCAAATATCCTACCAGTTCAGTGACTTTACCAATACCTCTAGAAAACAGTTAGCATATCATACCTTCTCAAAGGCACACTGAGGGTTTCTGCAAACAGCAGGTTTGCAGATAACAATATCGCCATGGCAACGGCAATTCTGGCATGAATCCGGCTTCCAAATTGTGGCGTCCTGCAAAGAAGCATAAGCTCTGAGTTAAAAACTGATCAGTCAACGTCTGAGCAAACAACAGCAGCACCTTCAAGGGCCCTGCAGCCTGAACAATTAAAAGGCAAAGGAAAAGTCACAGGCACACATCATGCTTGCTGGGCACTGATTAAACCTCCAGAGGCAATAAAAGCAGTATAATCCATTTCACCATAGTCAGCCCACGTAGCCAAAGACAAGGGCACGCAGCAGAAAGCTGTCGATACCCCGAGTAAAAACCATCGATTGACCTGAAACGTCAGGGGGACAAGCTGCTCCCTGACTTGAAGTTTCTCTTTGCTGTTAAGCAGCAGAAACCATCAGAGCCTGTTTAAAGGAAAATGACACTTGGACTAGCACTAACCAGCATTTTCCAGCTCTTTGTTACTACATACTTTCATGCTCATCAGAAACAAAAAGGATCTGAGTAAGTAGTTCAGTATTTTTAGGGCAGATCAGCCAACACACTGAGTGGCTATTATGTGTCCAGCTGTATGCCAGGCATACGGGGGTACAAATAAAGCACCATCCGTAAGGGTCTCACAAATTGTTTTGTATTATGCACATGAGGGTATTAAATAAACAAAAATTGATGACACTATGTTAGTTCTCAACAAATGGGAAAGTAACGATCATAACAGAAAAGTCAAACTGGGCTCAGTGCAAAAAGCACTTAGAAATTTCCTTTTGGTTTCCCACCTTCCATCACGCTGAATCTAGATTTCAATTGTGCCCATCTGAAGTACCTTGGAGCCCAAATACATCACAGACCCCAAAGAGATCAGTTTCTGTCCTTTGCAAAGCTGCTTCGAATTGAAGCAGTAAAGGTACCATAGACTGTGCTGAAATATATGTTCCCAGAGATTTCCCAACCTACATTCCTATTTGGTATGGGTTGAAACAGCCATCCTGTTCGGCCAAGTTCTGAACACTCAGCCTCTTTTAAGAGTGCTGTCCATGACATGCCCTGGTATGAAACTATGACGTCTCTCATCTTTACCTCTGATGGGGTACAGTGCCTGCGCCGTGGCAAACTTCACAGTCCTGAGACTCTCATCCCTCCACTCAAGTTGGTCAAGCCATCGACAGCCCCAGCCTCCCTCGTCTGGTCTCACCCCTTACCCTCCTCTGGGGATCCCCACTCCTCCCCCACTTCCTCAGAGACAGTCGGAAAGTAACATGCTTCTTTTAAGCCTCAATGTCAGGGATAAGTATTTCCTAACCCATAAGTCTGCACAGCAAACCCGCCACTCAGGTGCGGCCCTTCGGTGACCTCTGAGACCCCGCTGCTCCCCGCATGCACCACAGCCCTGCCAGCTTGCTAGAGCAGAATGCAAGCCCTTCGAAGAGGACTGTCCTTGGCTGGCCTCTGTAGGTCCTTCAGAAACCAAGGCTCACAGTTCCTAAGTTGCTCAGTAAAGACATTTTCCATCTTTCTAAAGACTCTCGTCCCTTTCTCCTCAGTCAGCCAGGTGAAGCGCTGTTAAAATACCGTGGGGCAGAGTGAGAGCAGCGCCTGGGTCCCTGAGAGTCCTCAGAAGGCCCTCATCTGACCTGGACTGGGCGAGCTCGGAAGCCGGCAGACGCTAGCGACAGACACTTCCACACCGGAAGGCCGAAGCAAATGTAATGGTTAATGTTATGTGTCAACTTGGCTAGGATACAGTACCCAGTTGTTAGGTCAAACGCCAGCCTAGATGTTGCTGTGGAGATATTTTGTAGATTTCATTAACATAATCAGTTTATTAAGTTAAATGAAGATCACCCGTAATAACATGAAGATCACCCGTAATCACCCAATCAGTTGAAGGCTTTTAAGAGCGAAAACTGAGGTTTCCTGGAGAGGAAGGAATTCAGCCTCAAAACTATAACAGAAATTCTGCTAGAATTTCCATACTGCCAGCCTGCCCTCCAAATTTCAAAATGTCAGACTCAAGACTGCAATTTCAACTCTTGCCTGAATTTCCAACTTGCCCATCTGCCCTACAGACCTGGAACTTGCCAGCCCCCACAATTACTGCACAAGCCAAGATCCACACGTCTCCTCTTGCTTTTGTTTCTCTGCAGGACGACGTCTGACATACCAACAGTGCACTGATTTACATGGATGTGCACAACATTCCCAAGCAAAGCTGAAGTCAACCTTCCGGGCTGAGAAATGTTAAATGCATCCATAACCTCTTACAGAATGGGCTTCAAACCCAAAGTCACTTAAAAAATATAAAATACATCTGAAGTCAGATTATATTCCCAGTAGCCAATTCACAAAAAATTGGAGTCGAAGCAAATGAGCACTAGAACCTGACTTGCAATACCTCCGAATTTCCTTCTCTTTATTGCTACTGCACGTTCCTCTGAAATTGGCAATAGTGTGCCAGCTACGTCTACTCTTCACCCAAACAGCAATGACAAGTAGGTGAGGCAAAACAAATTCCACGCCCAAGCACAATGTAATATGTGTTTCCTGCTGATTTCAAGAAAACGATATGAGTTTCAGGATACAGATTAAATAAAAATGACAACTTCACAAAGCCAGCAGCTACCATTTATTGATCACTATCTTATGCTGACTTATGCCTGACTCTTGGAGCAGGAAACACTGATGGAAGGGGGGCATTGGTGGTGCTGGAGGAAGGTGGCCGGTTTGCTTCCCCAGCCTCTGCCATCATCCCAGAGGGCTGGGCCCAGCAGAGAGGGACATGCAAAGCACTTACCTGCAGGACAACCCTAGGAGCCGGTACTATCCTTATTACAACTATTCTCATTTTACAGATGAGGGTTCAAGAGATTGAGCCATTTACCCCAGTTCCTAAAGCTCTATGAACTCCAAGAACCCCGGCTGCCTGGGCTTCAATCCTGGTGTCACCCTTTATTAACAGTGAGGCCCTTACCAAGTTAAGGTGTCTATATCTCAGGTTCCTCATCTGTAAAGTATGGGTGAGAAAGTACTTAAGTCATAGGGTTATTGAAAAGATGAAATGAGATGATGTATTTAAAAAAGAGATCAGAACAGTGCCTGGAAGTTACTAAGGGCCCATTGAATGTAATTTATTTTGAATCCAAATGCTTTCTAAGATGTCACCAGCATGTAGCAACTATCTTTTAAACGTTTCCTTTTCTCATAGCGAAAGCAGTAGAAGGGAGGCATGAATTCACAGATGGCGTCTGCAGGGCTACTCAGGTAACTGGAAAGGCCTCTGCCCTGCTACACTGACGTAGCCATGAAGCCACGTCTTCATTTCACTCGGACAGCAGAGAGCTGCGCCAGCTCCACGTGTGCCCCGCAGGTCAGAGTGGCTCTAAGGGCCATCACCCTTACTCCAGATGCAACATTCCCACCCCCGGGCGTCAAGTCCTCTGCACCTCAGTCATTTCCTCAGTGACCCGACTCCAAAACAGTCCGTGACTCTTTTCAGCAGCTCTCAATCACTGGAGTGGCTTACTGAACTCTAACCAGCAGACATCTAAAAACAGGGACTAATTTTCACTTCTGCTCATAGAGCCAGAATTTTTCTTTCTGTTAATTCAAAGTTAAATTCATCTGGGCCCAGGAAGCTTTCTTGAATTTGTTTACATATCTATCTTCCCACCAGACTATGACTCTTCAAGGAAGATCTCGTTTTATTCCCCTTTATCTGTCCCCATCACCTAGCACAGTACTGGATGAATTCACTAATGAACAACCCTTCAGGATAATGGCTGTCCATGTGAACCGAGATACCGCACTTAGGATGCAAGGCCCTGACAACGCAATGTTTAGTGATGTCACCGCAAAATCCCCGTAATGTTGAAGGTTATTTCTTCACTTGATCAAACTGTGTTTGAAGAAAAATTTCCTTCATCTGGGCATCGGACTTGTCAAAAAAGTCCTTATAATAATGTCCTCAGAGAGTAAGTAGTTTCTGGTTAATTTTATTTTTTATTTTTAAAGATTTTTTTATTTTTATAGAGAAAGGAAGGGAGATGGGGAGAGAGGGGAAAAATATTAACACGAGAGCGAAACATCGATTGGCTGCCTCCTGCACGCCCCCTACTAGGGACGGAGCCTGCAACCCAGGCACGTGCCCTGACCAGGAATCGAACCAGCAACCTGCCCAACCAACTGAGCCACACTGGCCAGGGCTATGGTTGATTTTAAATAAAGTAAGCCCTTTACCAAGACCTAGACAGAGGGCCATATATTTTTTAGGTCTAAAACTTTAGGAATCAATTTCTATGGTCCCATAAAACTGCTTTATGACAGTAGGGATACGAGAGTTCCTCAATAGCTGAAACTTTGGATGAAGTCATAAAAACCAAAGAAATAACATTGTAAAATAAGTTGTACAGATTTTCCATGTTATTATTACAATTCTGTCTCTTTAGAATCCTCTCTTCCAATCTAACACACTCTGAAGAAGAAATAGTCTTAAAATTGTTTTTCCCTAGACTATAGATTAAAGGATTAGATTTTGACAAAGCTAAAAAGCAACTGAAATATGATCTGTTTAAACATCTTTTTATATTTTTAATAATATATGAATAAAATATTCTTGCTAATAATACAGTGTCTCCATCCCCAAATATATGATTTTTACTTTATTTTTATTGTTGATACTACTTCAGATGTCCTCGTTTTCCCCCTCTGCCCACCTCTACCCAGCCCCCCCTTCCCTCCCCCTGGCCCTCACCACACTCTTGTCTGTGCCTATGGGTTATGCATATATGTTCTTTGGCCAATCCCTTCACCTTCTTACATCCAGTCCTCCCCTCGCCCCTCTCCTCTGACAGCTGTCAGTCTGTTCCATGCGTCCATGCCTCTGCTTCCATTTCTTAAATTTATTTTTATTGAAAGTATTACAGGTGTTCTCTCTTTTTTCCCCATTGACCCCTTCTACCCTGCACCCACCCCCCTGCCCCTGGCCTTCATCACACTATTATCTGTGTCCATGATCTCACTCATATGCAGAATCTAAAGAACAAAATAAACTGATGAACAAAATAGA